AGGGTCGATGTAATAAAAGTACACGAAAAGTACCAAACGGTACTAAATTTGGTACAATTTGAATTTTTAGGAATCCTAATATTTGAAATGAACATTACTGGCGGAGTGTAGGATTGGAATATGAAGATAGTTTACGAAATTTGTACTTATGTGCACGAAAAGTATTAAATGGTACTCAATTTGGTACAATTTCAATAGACTTGGAGACCTGAAATTTAGAATTAAGATTAATGCTGGAATGTAAGATTAGGATATGAAGAAAGGTTTGGAAATTCGTACACATGTGTACAACATGGTACTAAATTTGGTACAAATTACATTTTGGGAGAACCAGTAGAGATGGAATTCGGAAATTTGGATATACGATTATTATTGGTAAGATATATGTAGTTATGGACATTTATACTTATATATACTAAATGGTAATCAATTTGGATTTGGGTGAACCAATAGAGCTGGCGTCCTGAAATTTGGAAATAATATTACGGTCGGAGTGTAGAATTGTGATATGGAAGTAGTTTTGGAAATTTGTACTTATATGAACAAAAAATTACTAAATCTGTTACAACTTCGATTTTAGAACCGATACAGATGGAATCCTAAGAAACTGTTGGAGTGTAGGATTAAGAAATGCATGCTTATGTGTATTAAATGGTACTAAATTTGGTACAATTTTGATATGGTTGATCCGGTAGAGATAGAATCCTGAATTACGGAAATTTGAACTTATGTGTAATAAGTGGCATTCTGAAATCTGGCTGGAGCTAGAATTTTGAAATTGTGCCTGTGGGCAGGGGTAAGATAAGACTGGGTTTTTGCTATACAAAACTATTTTTGGGAAGTTGTGATGATTTAGGTGGGTGTTTTTGTAAAAGTGTGTGTGGCAAATGTATTAAATGGAACTAAATTCGATACAAATTCGGTTTTGGTTTGGAACGGATTGGTCTAGAAATTTAAAAATTGACATTTTGGTCTCTGCTTGTGGGTAGGGCTTAGATAATGAGTTGAGTTCGGAAATTTGTTCAGAAAGCATACGAGGGACACTAAATGGTATTAAATTTTGCATTATATGAACGAATACTGCTTGAAATCTGAAATTTGGCATTAGGATCACTGTTAGTGTGTAGGGTTGAGATTTGGAGGTGATTTTGGTAATACGTACTAAAAAGTACAAAATGATACTAAATTGGGTAATTAAGTTAGGAAATGAATTGTAAGTCTAAAATTTTCATTGAGGTCACATTTTGTATGGTCGGGTTGATACATGGCGGGGGATTTGAAAATACGAACAAAAAAATACGAAAAGTACCAAATAATGTTAACTTTGGTATATGAGGAAGGAATAGAGCTGGACATCTGAAATTTAAAGTGAGAGTCTTTTATGTTGTGCAGGATGGATGTACGTATGGTACACGGATGGTACACGTATTGTTATTTTGTCGAAAAACCCTTTAGTTTTTCTATTCTATGTGAGATATGTACTAAATTGAACTAAATTCCAGTACAATTCCGTTGTGGATGAACGGAAGAAGCTGGTAATGTTAAATGTTGGTATTTAGATCCCTGATGGTTGCAGGTTTGCGATAAAAACGTGGTTTTGGAAATTTACTAAATTTGGTATAATTTAGTATTGAGTGAACAGATAATGCATAAAATCTAAAATTTGGCATAAGGTTTACCGTTCATGTGTAGCCTGGACATGTGGAGGTAGTTTGGGGAATGAATTGTACGAAAAGTACTAAAATACTACATTTTGTATTGAGTGAAGAGATAGGGATAAAATTATGAAATTTTATATTTAAATTACTGATGGTTTCTGTGCTCGAGATTTAACGGTGGTTTGGAAATGTGTTCCAAATTTATACGAAAAGTTTTAAATGGAACAAGTAAGCAAAGGCTACAGTCGAGCGGGGCCGACCGTTGAATACCCTACAACACTATAATAAACGATACAGTTCATATAGGCGAGATACTCGAAAGAATTCCACAAGATATTGTGACAAATAATAAAAGAAAACCATCACGTTTCGTTCTCTAATTTTCGAATAATAGCAACTTAAACTAATTTGGTCATTTTCAATTTATTGGTAGATGTTGCACTTAAATGGTTTTCCTAGATCTATAACCAATATTTCCCAAAAACCTATAATCTCTCAGAAGTGGCAAATGATTAACATTTATTATTGGTTTTTGACTGAAACGCATATATATGAGATACAGACATTTGACTATATTCTTCTACGAAATCAGCGTTAACGAAATAGTTAGAAGTGCGTCTTTCCTGTATTTGTGAATTTTCCAAAAAGTCACTGGAATTGTCATTTTCGTATTTTGTCTACAAAAGTTGGCAAACTCCTTCACACATTGAATATTTTTGGATGGCCATCCAAAACTGCTAGGCTTTTGCAATGCCCGGTAACCCCCATTTAAATGTGCGTGAGGATCGGACAATAATTACGACCTGCTGACAATTTTGCAGTTTTTTCGGTCCATTTCAACCCCTAAATATATGGCGATCATCTCCAAAAAGAGTAGGCTTCTATTCTGACCCTCATCTGGTCCCTATGAAAAATTTCGTTAGGATCGGGCCATAAATGCGATCTGTATATGATATCCTAACTACTTAGTTTTGTTGGCTGTAGAAATATTACCAAATGTTTAATTCAAAATGAAAATATGACAAAATTGAAAATATATGAGAAATTGTTTCAAAATCAATATTTTCATCTTTAGAGAGATATTTTTATGCGATTTTTTTATACGTTTTTTGTTTCCTGCCAAGGGGCCATTCTGAATTAATGAGAACTGTCGAAATCAGTTCAGCCGTTCTCGACATAAAAGAGATCTTTCAAGCATATCTTCTTTGATAGACATATATATCGCGCATATTTTGCTATATATCCGATTTGTTGGATGTTAACATCAATGTAAAGGTCAGAAGTAACCCTGTCATGGCTTTGTGATTTCGCCGGGATTTAAAATATTCGCGGTTTAATGAAAAATTCCGAATTTTTTCAATACAAAAGATATGGTCTATTTTACCCGCTAAATATAATCCGATGGCCACCCAAATTGGTAGGCTTCTTCCCCGCCCTAAGCTCTAGCTACATGCGAAATTCCGCGTCGATTGGTCTATAAATGCTACCTGTATAGCTAGTATAGCAGTATTTGGTCCATTTCACCCCCTAAACATTTGGCGATCATCTCCAAAAGAAATAGGGTTCTATTCTGACATTAACCCCACCTCCATACTAAATTTCGTGAAGATCGGACCATAATTGCGACCTGTAGAGTGATTACAAATTAACATGGACAGACGGACAGACGGACGGACGGACATACATAGCTAGATCGCCTCAGATCGGCGAGCTAGGAAGATCCATATATACTTTCCTATATGGGAAACCAATATTTCGAGGTGTTACATAAATTCTGGCCCAATCAAACTTATAATACCCCCAACACATAGTGTTGTAGGGTATAACTAAATTTAGCATTGTGTGAGTGGCACTAGGACTGAAGACCTAAAATTTAATTTGAGGTCTCTGTTGGTATCTGGAATGGAGATATGGACATAGTTTTGGAAATGTGTACTATAATTACACAAAAAGTACAAAATTGTATAAAATTTCATATTCAGTGAATAAAGCTAAAATCCTTAAATTTGATACTAAAATTGTACGAAAAGTACTAAATAGTACTAAATTTTGGTATTGGGTGAAGGGATGAGGTTTCAATCTTCAAATTTCATATTTAGGTCTCTGTTGTTTTATGGAATTGATATATAGAGTTGGTTTTGGAAATGTGTACTATAATTGCACGAAAAGTACTAAATAGTACTGAATTTGGAATTGGGTGAAAGAATAGAGCTGGATACCCGAAAATTTAATTTTGAAATATCAGTTGGTGTCTGGAATTGAGATTGAGTCAGTGATTTCGGAAATGTGTACTATTATTATACGAGATGTACTAATTGGTACTAACTTGGCTATTGGGTGAAGGGATAGAGCTAAAATCCTGAAATTTGTTATGGATGTTGATATGAAGTGGTACGAAAATGGGTATTTTGTGAATAGAGCTGGAATACCGAAATTTAATGTTGAGGTCTGTGTTGGTACTAAAATGTTTCGAAAAGTGCTAAATGGTACTAATTTAGGTTCACTGTTGGGGTCTATGATGATTACATGTAGATTGTTTTGGCTATGCGTACTAAATGTTACTTGGTATTGGGTGAGGGGATATTGAGGTCACAGTTAATTTCTGGAATTTACATATAGCGACGTTAAAATAGTTTTGAGCAAAAAAATTGGATTTGGGCCCACTGTACAATGGTTTTACTAATATCATTCTCGATAAACTTCAAAATGAAAATTTGATGGAAAAGATAAACATTTTCTTATTATTCCTTCCGAAAAAGGAAAAGCTTAAATATTATATCAAACCTTGAAATTTAGTTGAGTTTTAAGAAGTTTTGATTAAAAAAATTGTCAAACTAAACAAAGTGGGCCTTTTGAGAGTTATAAAGGCCTAATACGAACACGTTGGAAATAAACTATAATTTTAAGGTGGACTTATATCTGACGACTTGCTAATGCTTGTATATGCGAAAAAATATCCCACTTGGCAAGCACTTGTTTGGTTCTATAGCCTTAAATGCATGAAAAACGGATGATATATTGAATATACACACCCCTGCAGAACATTTTGTCCTCAAATGTCAATTTGGAATATTTCATAATAAGAACTTTCTTCAATGAGGTCACATTACAATTTGAGGTCTCGAATACAATTAGCAGCCATCGTTATTAACGAACCTATAATCAATAGCCATAATGCAACGTCTATTTCGACCTCCAGTTTAAAGATTAAATTGAACATTACGAAACATTCATGCATTCGTCCTTATAACTTCACAACACTTAACATCGGCGTGAATGCATGTGTGTGTGTGTGTAATTGTTCATGTGTTTCACTAATTCCCCTCCCCCCTTTTCCGACAGGTCATGTTACCCCCTCCCGTACATGGTACTTGTATTACGATACGGAGAATTTCCAACGTGAACTTGAAGATGTTGTATGGGAAATAATGCCGCTGTATCAGGAGCTGCATGCCTATCTGCGTCACTGGGCACGCCATCAATACGGCAAGCATTTGACCGATGCCACAGATGGTGCCATTCCGGCACCGGTAATGGAACAGATCATAACACAAGATTGGTATGCTAATCCCATCTTTCGTATACCCTTTCCCAAACATTTGCTGCCAACGGTCAAGCAACGTTTGGAAGAGGTGATGGACACGCCGGTACAGATGATAAAGAAAGCCTCCGAATTCTATGAATCGATGCAGTTGAATAAATTAAACAAGTAAGTGTGAATGGTGTGGTCACTTGAAGGCAGAGAAGATGTGATGTGACAATTTCTTGCCCATCTCCATTTTAGAACATTCATGGACAAATTTGTGCGTCGCATCAACGAAGATGACCCGAATAAGGTTTGCCGTGTCGAGGTGTCATATTTTCCACCAGATGTTGCGCTGCGGTTTTGCAATAAGGTTAGCAGTGATATAATGAGTTTTCAATATTTGTTTTAATATTGAAAAAATATTTCTGTTTCTAGGTGGACTATCGACCCTTCCTGCAAATGCATGGTCATGTGGCTGAGTTGCAATACAACATGTATAAAGCCCACTTGCCGGTTGGCTTGGACAACGAACCTTGCCCTGGTTTTGGTAGTGCATTGGGTGAGGCATTTATTATTGCTGCTGGAACACCAAGGCATTTAAGCCGCTTGGCCATAGTGGTCAATGATACACTGCCTCCGGAACAGTCACTTAATCGTTTGTTTCGAATGGTGAGTATTACGGTGGGGGTTTTAAAGATTTCTAGGACCATAAAAAGAGGACTACGAAAGAAGATTTTTAAGCATTTCTAAGACCATTACAGGACAACTAAAAACGTTGATTTTTAAGGATTTCTTCGGCTATTTAAAGACGACTATAGACGTGGATTTTTTACGAGTTCTAGGACCATACAAGGAATCTGTAAAAAATGGTCCTAGAAATTTTCAGAAACCCCACGTTTATAGTCGTCCTTGTTTGGCCCTAGAGGCCTTTAAAAAATCGTTTATAGTCGGCCTCGTATTGTACTTTTAGCCATTGAAAAATTTTAAAGGTATATAGGTGCACGCAAAGACATTTTCTAGGACCTTACATACACCACTATAAAAATGGATTCTTCAACGGATATTAAGGACCTTACAAGGACGGAAATAAACGTGAATTTTACAATGATTTTTAAAACCATACCAGAACTACCATAATCGTTCATTTTTGAATGATTTCCAGGACATTACAAGGACGACTTTTAATGTGGATTTTTTAATGGCTAAGAGTACAATTCGAGGACGACTATAAACATTTTTTTAAAGTCTTTTAGGGCTAAAAAGAACGACTATAGTCGTGGGGTTTCTAAAAATTTTTGGGATCATTTTATACAGATTTCGAAGACCATACAAGGACAACTATATTTGGGCTTCTTGGATCATACCAGGACGATCATAAATGTGGATTATATAAAGGTTTCTAGAACAAAACAAGGACGACTATAAATGCGAGTACTTATTTAACGTGAAATTAAAAAAAATCTGAGTCCTTATAAGGGCGACTATAAACTTATTTTTTTAAGGATTTCTATAAACGTGGATTCTTTAAAGATTTATAGAGTCTACAGGTACTACCATAAACGTGAATTTTTTAAGGATTTCTGGGACCATACAAGGAAGAATATAAACATGGTTTTTTAATGATCTCGAGGACCACACAAGGACGACTATAAACGTGGATTTTTAAAGGATTTCTGGGACCATACAAGGAGGACTATTAACGTGGATTTTTTAAGGATTTCCCGGATCATAAAAAAACAACTTTAAACATGGATTCTTTAAAGATTTCAAGGACTATAAAAAACCGACTATAAACGTGGATTTTTCAAGGACTTCTGGGACCACACAAAGACTACTATAAATGTGGATTCGTCTTAGATTTCTAGGTCCATAGAAGGACGACTATAAATGTGGATTTCTTAAGAATTTCGGAGATCATATAAGGACGACTATATACGTGGGTTTTTTATGGATTTTTGGGACCATACAAGGAGGACTATGAATGTCGATTTTTTAAGGATTTCCAGGACCATAAAAAAAGCTATAATCGTGGATGTTTTGAGGATATCCGGGACCATACAAGGACGACTATTAACGAAGATTTTTTAAGGATCTTTAGGACCACACAAGGAGGACTATAAATGTCGATTTTTTAAGGATTTCCAGGACCACATAAAGACTACTATAAATGTGGATTTTTAAAAGATTTCTAGGGCCATAGAGGGACGACTATAAATGTCGATTTTTTAAGGATTTCCCGGACCATACAAAGCCAACTATGAACATGGATTCTTTAAAGATTTCTAGGACCATACAAGGACGACTATAAACGTGGATATCTTAAGGATTTCTGGGACCATGCACGGACGACTACATACGTGGATTTTTTAATGATTTAAGGGACGATGCAAGGACGACTATAAACATGGATTTTTTATGGATTTCTGGGACCATACAAGGACGACTTTAAACGTGGATTTTTAAGGATTTCTAGGATCATAAAAGGACAACATAAACGTGGATTTTTTAAAGATTTCTAGGACCATAAAAAGAACAACTATAAACGTGGATCTTTTAAAGATTTCTAGGACCATAAAAGGACAACTATAAAAGTGGATTTTTAAAGATGTCTAATACCATACAAGGACGACTATAACCGTGGATTTTTAATGGATTTTAAGGACCATACAGGGACAACTTTAAATGCGTATTCTTTAAAGATATCAAATACAATACAGGGACAACTATAAATGTGGATTCTTTAAAGATGTCTAATACCATACAAGGACGGCTATACATATGGATTTTTTTAAGGATTTCTGGGACCATACAAGGACGACTATAAAAGTGGATTTTTTTAAGGATTTCTGGGACCATATAAAAGTGGATTTTTTAAGGATTTTTAAGGACTTTTTAAGAATTTCTAGGACCATATAAAGGCTATTATAAACGTGAATTCTTTATAGATTTCTAGGGCATAGAGGGACGACTATAAACATGGATTTCTTGAGGATTTCCGGGACCATCCAAGGACGACTATAAACGTGGATTTTTTAGGGATTTCTGGAACCATGCAAGGATGACTATAAACGAGGATTCTTTAAAGATTTCTAGGACCATAGAAGGTCGGCTATAAAGGGGATTGCTTAAGGATGATACAAGGACGACAATCAACGTGGATTTTTTTGTTGTTGTTATAGTGATTTCTAAGACAATACAAGGACGACTATAAAAAGTGTATTGTTCAAGTATTTCCAGGACATTACAAGAACGACGATATATGTGGGTTTTTTTAAGATAATGCACATTTATTAACGTGGATTTTTTTAAAAATCTTATTGACTTCGATTTTTAAAGGAATCGTAATCCTTGGAGTTTCTAAAAATTTCCAGGATCAACGGGACCAGGACAACTATAAACGTGAATTTTTGAAGGATTTTTATAACAATACAAGGGCTACTATAAACGTGGTGTTTTGAAGGATATAGTGATTCCTAAGGCAATACAGGAGCTGTTCAAGTATTTTCAGGACATTACAAGAACGACTATATATGTGGGTTTTTTAAAGATAATGGACAACTATTAAAGTGGATTTTTTAAAAAAAATCTTAGTCCAAAAGGACGACTAAGGAGTGGAGTCTCTAAAGTTTTCTACAGTCGTTCATATCGGTCCTGGAAGTTTTTTATGATCCTAGAAATCTTTAGAAGGGTTTTTTAGTTTTTTTTTTTTTTTTTTTTTTTTTTTTTTTTTGTAAGATGTCTAGTTGGCCTATTTTTAAAGGTTTATAGGGCGTCTACAAACGTGGATTTGTTTAGGATTTATTTAGGACGATAAAAGGATTTTTAAAAATGTGGAATCTCTAAGACCATACATGGACCATGAATGGGGATTTTTTTCTTGATGTCTGGTGCCAATTCTAACGAGCCTTACTTTTTTAGCATTCAACTCAAAATCTCTATCTTACCTTGCAGGGCGTCCACACCATTATGGCCATACCACAATACTTCATCAATGATAAATACTTAGTGGATGTCATGGATGGACGGATAAGTCCAAGGGAGTATAATTGTGCCTATTGGAAACTGCAACATAAATATGCTGGGGTAGTGCCACCCAGTCGCCGCAATGAAATGAGTTTTGATCCCGACTATAAATTCTACAAGGGTCTAAGTCCAGATCGATCGAATACAATGTGAGTAGATATTTTAATTTTTTTTTTCCATTTTTTTTTTTATTTAGACCTTCTCTTTTTGGACCTACAGCAAATTTATATCCGAAGTTTTGGGTCTACAATTTTATCGTTCATTCTGTATGTTGAGTGCTGAATATAAACCCGGCAATCCGGAACATCCTTTGTATAATTGTGATTTTTATAATAGCACGGCGGTGGGAGATGTTGTCAAGTGAGTGACGTATTTCAACATTAATATTAAGTGGTTGTATTTATTGAAAATACATTTTTTTGTAGAAAAATGATGAAAATGGGCGCCACTAAACATTGGCGTGACGTCATGGCCATTGCAACGAAAGAGCGCCGCCTAAGTGGCCAGGGTGTTATGGAATATTTTGCACCTCTGTACATTTGGCTCAAGGAACAAAATAAGAAACTCGGTCTCATACCGGGATGGGATGATGACATACGTAAGTTTTGTTAAAGAGAAGTAATAAAACGTTTATCGAAATTATATTTTTTTTTTTTTATTTCTTTGCAGAATGCGGAAATTATTTCTAAGATTTGAACCTGTTATTTTAGATTTTGAACAAGTTATGCGAAAATCTCTAATTGTAAATAAATAAACCAAGTAATCACTATTCAACAATTAAAATTTTTCAAGTTGTGTTGTTATTTCCAAGCAATAAATTAAGATTCCAACTGCCATAGGATAGGATAGCAAAATGAATGTTCTTCATTGCATTTTGGCCCATTAAAGGACCTCAATGAGGCCAGAAATAAACTAGTATTTTCAGGCATATTTGATTGCTCCTATATATCGGACTATTTGAATTCTTTAACAGGTCATTTAAAATCTACCTCAATTCTTCATTTTAAAATCTTACTTAAATAGACTTCCTTATAAGTTCCTGAAAATTTTTAAAATCCAATTTTTTGCCCTAAAATCCCCATAACAATCTTTAAAAATCTACGTCAATATACGTTTTTGCATCAACCTGAAAACAAATTTAAATTAATGTTTAAAATATTTAAAAAATATTGAAAAAAGGTCAAAGGTCAAAGTCAGTCTTTATTAATCTGCGTTTATGTAGTATCATTATCCTAAAAATCATTACTAACCCACTTACACATTCATCCATCAATGGCACCTATAAATTTTTTAAAATTAAACATAAATAATCGTCCTGAAATGGACATGGAATTGGATTTGCATTGAATGTCCTTGAAAATTACAAAAAAAAATGTTTTTAATAGTGGTACTTGAATGCTCCTGCAATTATCCATCAAAAACTCTATTAAAGACATCTTCGGAAGATCGTAGATATCTTTAAAATTCACCTTTATAGTCATTCTTGTATGGTCATAGAAATCGTTAAACAATTCTCTACTATTTCCTTTCATGGTCCTAAATATCTTTAAAAATCCTCTCAATAGTCGTCCTTTTAAGGTCCTCAAAATCTTAAAAACTGCGTTCTATTACCATTGTGGTCCTAAAAATCTTAAAAAAAACAAGTTTATAGTCATCCTTGGATGGTCCTAAAAGTTTTTAAAAAATTCATTTTCTGGGCGTCCATGTAAAGTCCTAGAAAACATTAAGATATCCACTTTTTAATCGTCCTTGAATCGGCTAGAATTTATAAAAAAAATTGATTTTTATAATCGTCCTACTGTGATCCTACAAATCTTTAAGACGTTTACAGTCGTCCTTGGATGGTCCTAGAAATCGAAAAAACATGTTTATAGCCGTCCTTGTAAGGTAATAGAGATCCTTAAAAATCCACATTCATAATCGTCTTTGTGAAAGCATAGCCATTTTTAAATATTATAAATTTAAACACTTCCTTATAAGGTACTAGAAATCTTTAAAATCCTCCTTTATAGTCGTTCCTGTGAAGTCCCACAAATCTTTAAAAACAGCGTCTAGTTGTCTTTTTAAGGTGCTTAAAATCGTTAGAAAAATCCTTGTTTATAGTCCTTCTGTAAGTTCCTAAAAATCTTCAAAAAATGCATGTTCATAGTCATCCTTGTAGAGTCCTAGAAATATTTAAAAAATATGCGATTGTATAAGTCCTTTTAATGTCCGAGAAATCTTTTAAAAATCCACATTTATGGTCTTTCTTATAGGGTACTAGAAAGCTTAAAAATCCAATTTATAGTCGTCCTAAACATCGTTCGAATACCCACATTTATAGTTGTCCTTGTAAAGTACTAGAAATTTTTAATAAAAGTCACAACTATAGTTGTCCTTGTAATGTGCTTTAAGTCTTTAAAAAATCATCGTTTATAGTCGCCCTCTTTATAGTCGTCTATTTTAGGTTGTCTCTGTAAGGTCCTCAAGACCTTTAAGAAAACCACATTTATTGTCCTTAAAATCTTAAACTAATCCACATTTATTGTAGTCCTTGTAAGGCCCTAGATATCTTAAATAATCTACGTCGATACTCTCTTGATTGGTCCTTGAAACTATTAAGGAATCCACGTTAATAGCCGTCCATGTAAGGCCTTAAAAATTTTTAAAAATCCACATTAATTGTCGTCCTTGTAGAATCTTAGAAAATTTTAAAAAGACCACGTTTACAGTCCTTCAAAGGTCCTAGAATTTAAAAACACGTTAATAGTCGTCCTAGAATTTTTCCAGAAATCTTTAAAATATCTACCTACTTTTTATCTATCTAATCACTTTTATCTAATATCTATACACTTTTTAGTCGTCATTTTTAATGCTAGAAATCCTTAAAAATCTGCATCTATAGTCGTCATTATAGTATCGTAGAATGTTAAAAAAACCCACGTTTACTGTCGTCCTTGTAAGGTCCTAAAAATCGTTAGAATATCCACACTTTGGTCGTCTTGTGAGGTCCTAGAAATCTTTAAAAAATCCACGTTTATAGCATTTCTTATAGGTTCCAAGAAAACTTAAAAATCCACACTTATGGTCGTCCTTGTAAGGTCCAAAAAAATCGTTAAAATATCCACATCTATGGCCGTCCTTGTAAGGTCCTAGAAATCTTTAATAAAATCATGTCTATAGTAGCCCTTGTAAGGTGCTTAAAATCTTTCAAAAATCATAATTTATAGTTGCCCTTGTAAGGTGCTAGAAATCCGTCCTTGTAAGGTCCTAAAAAATTGGTTAAATATTCACATTTATGGTCGTCCTTGTAAGGTCCAGAAATCTTTAATAAAAGCATGTCTATAGTAGCCCTTATAAGGTGCTTAAAATCTTTCAAAAATCATAATTTATAGTTGCCCTCGTAAGTTCCTAGAAATCTTAAACAAACCCACGTTTATATTTGTTATTTTAAGGTCCTAGAAAGTTTAATAAAAATCCTCGATTATATTTGTTTTTTGAGGTCCTTGAAAGCTTTAAAAAATTTATTGCTGTCCTTTTAAGGTCCTAAAATTTTTTAATAAATCCTCATTTATAGTCTTCCTTATTTGGTGATAGAAATATTTAAAAAATCACTTTTATGGTCCTTGTAGAGTCCTAGAAATCTTAAACAAATCCACATTCATTTATAGTCATGATTGAGGATACAAGAAATCTTTAAAGAATCCATGTTTACAGTCATCCTTGTGGAGTCCTAGAAATCCCAAACATATTTGCGATTATAGACGTACAGTCGTAGAAATCTTTGAGAAATCCATGTTTACAAGGACGGCTTGTAAGGTCCCAAAATCTTTTAAAAATCCACCTTTAAAGTATTTCTTACAGGTTCCCAAAAAGCTTAAAAATCCATTTTCTAGTCGTTCTTGTTAGGTCCTAAAAATTATTAGAATATCCACTTTTTTAGTCGTCCTTGTAAGATTTTAGAAATTTTTAATTACTCCACGTTTGTAGTCGACCTTTTAGAGACTAGAAATCTTTTCAAAATCCATTTTTGTAGGCGTCTTTGTATATTTTATAAAAATCCTTATTTGTAGTCGGTCTTGTATGCCCAAAGAAATCTTTAAAAATCCACGTTTGTAGTCGTCCTTGTATAGCCCTTCAAATTATTAAAGAATCCCTGTTTGTAGTCCTCCTTTTATGGTCCTAGAAATATTAAAAAAAAAAACGTATTTATAGCCATCCAGGTCGTTGAAATATTTATAAAATTCTTGTAAGGCGCCAGAATTTTTTAAAAAAATTGCGGTTCGTAGCCGTCCATGTAAAGTTCTAAAACTTTTTAAAAAAAATTGAAGTCCTTGATTGGTTTAGAAATCTGGAAAAAATTACCTTTTAGTCGTTCTTGTATGGTCCTATATCCTAGAAATCTTAGAAAAATATGTTTATAGCCATCTTGGCATGGTCCTAGAAACCACGTTTATAGCCTTAAATGGGCCAAGAAGCCTATAAAAAACCACGTGGTAATTCTTTGATGGTCCTAGCACTCTTAAAAAGATCCATGTTCACAGATGCCTTTGTAGATCTTAGAAATCTCTGAAAAAAACAGTTTATAGTTGTCCTTGTATGGTCTTAGAAATCTTGAAAATTCACGTTTAAAGTCATCCTGTGATGGGTCTAAAATCTTTAAAAAAAATCCTAATTTACAGTCGTTCTCTATGGTCCTAGAAATCTTTAAAAATTCATGTTTCAAGTCGTTCTTATTGTGTCCTGGAAATCGTTGAAAAAATCCACATGTTAGTAGCCTTAGGTGGAATTAGCATTTGTGATCCCACAAATCTTAAATAACTCTCGTTTCCAAAAAACCCAGGTTTATAGTCGTCCTTTGACGTTACTAGAAATCTTTAAAAAATCCGCATTTATAGCCGTGCTGTACTTCGATTCGATTAACTCCGAAAGAAGATTATTTTCTCCTCATCGCATTCCATCAGCCACAGTTCTTAACATTTTCAATTGTTTAATGACCCGTTACAAATAACAATAACAAATCAGCTAACCCTAATGGATGTTAATTATCCCCCAAATACAGTCCTTCTATCTCCTTCTCTCTGGGGGGTATTATGGATGAAATTGAAAAAATATACATTTCAAAGTTAAAGTTTATAAATCAATTAGATGTGTGAGTGTATGTGTGTGTCTGTGCGATTAATGTTTGCTTCCAATCTATTAATCTGACTTTTCTATTCATATTTATTTTTGTTTCAAACCTTTGGCTAAATGTTCCCTCATCCTCAGCTTTGAGTATTCAATCTATTGCCAACCCGACCCACAAATTTCCAGGGAACATATTCACAGCTATAAAACTTGAAACACCCATCCTTTTCTCCTCTCCATCCTTCCCCCTCTCCCTTTATAAAAACTAAACGACAAACAAATTTTTTATCTGCCTTCATGCCAACAAACATCCATTCAAACGATTGCCGAAAATCAGCAGCAGCATTCAAATGCTCGATAGGTGATCCAAAAAATATCCTTTTTTCCCGGTAAGTTCATACCCAAACAAAAATAACAACAACAACAACACCACCGCTTAGTTCCTTTAGTTGCTGGCTGCTATTGTTGATGTTTTTTAGAGGATTTTCTGTTACTTCATGGTCGCCTTCAATACCGAAATTTGTAACAACAACAAAAAAAGGTATTTTTTGTGATTTTTTGATTGGGGCGTTGGGTCGTGGATTTGTTTTGCTGTTTTAGTCATTTAAAATTTTTCTACATCATTTCCCACTCAACGAAAAGTCCGAATTTTTCCCAGACATGACCTTTTATATTTT